TATGAGGAATTATTTTAAGACAAAACTAAAATCAAATCACAACTTAGAGGAAAAAAGGCTAGTCTTTATAATCAGGAAAAAAAATTTTTTTAAAGAAAATACTTGAAATATTTTTTGCACCATCTCCCTGCAAAATAAAAAACTGGAGTTCATTTTTTCTTGTTTTTACATCTTTTTAATGGTTGAATATTAGCAGAACAAACTGCCACAATTAGTATCTGTTATTCTTCATTGGATTATTACCTATACCTTGACTACTTTTAAGGAAGTTTGGGGGGCATTTATCCTAAGTGGCACATATCCAATAGGACCATTAAAATAGAAATAAGTAGAAGAATTTAAAAAGGAAATCAGGTGAGAGAGGAATCATGATTCCTGGAATTCCTGCCACTGGACATTAAATTGAGCTCTTGGTTTCTGGATGCCAAAAAGGAAAGGAACTCAAACTTTTCATTCTTAGATGCCAAGTCTGTGCTAAGCACGGACAGTGGGCGCTACTGTCCGGAGCAGCACCTTAGACCCCAAACAGCTGTACCCTTACCCCAGTCACTCACTTACTCATCTGCTCAGCTCTCACCCTCAAAGAATCAAAATCCGGTCAGGACAAAACTGCCCATCAAGAGCTGCAGGGACTGGGAGGCACACACGTGGTTACCTATGGGATGGAACCCCTGGAGCTCAGGGCTGGGGTACAGGGGCGTGGTGCCCAAAAGCTGTGCAAATCAGTGACCCTGGGTGACAAACCAATGGGAAAGAGACTCAATAGGTAACAAGTGGTACTGGGAACATTGATGATTTGGAGAAAAAATAAAATAGATCAGGCTTCCTAGTGCATTGTGAAGAGTTAAATGCAAATAACCCCACAAAAATCAGAAGAAAATAAATATGGATCTATAACAGATCACAGGATAGGAAGGAGTCTCCAAGCATAAAAGCAAAGAAAAAGATTATAAGGGAAAAGATAGATTTGACTACAAACGAGAAAAAAATGTATGTCAAAAAAATATAAAGATGCACATGCATCTACTATGGCTGAAGAGCCCTAAGAGCTTGAGCGCATGAAGAACATCTGCAGAAGTTCAAAAGGTGAAAAATACTCTATCTCATTAGTAATTACATGAATTCAAATTCAAGAAACCATTTTCAACTACCAATGTGGTTTTACTAAACTGGCAAAGTTGTTTTGTTTGTTTTTAAGATAATCCTTCTGGTGAGGAGGGTTCCCCCTTCCTGGAGGCAATGTTCCTATTCCTGCATCTCATCCTTCTGTTTCTAGAAATATTCAGAGATGTGCCAAAGGTTTATCTAAACCTAAATAAAAGTTCAATACCCTTTTATTATTTTAACAATATAAACTCCCAAAAATGTAAAAGCAAAACTGGAAATTCTCTAACTACATAACACTAGTGATTTGGTTAAATAAATCATGTCCCATTCCAATGATGGAATGAGAGGCAATCATCAGAGATTATTTAGTCAATGATGTTTAAGGATATGGGAGAATATTCTCTGTAAGTGTTACATTAAGAAATATCAGTATAAAACTATATATGTTGTTTGATCCCAATTATGTATGCATATTAGCTTCACTCATGAAATTGCCTCTATTTAATCATTTTTTACCTAATGATTTGTTTTATCTATCAATTTGTTTTAATGTAAATGCTTTTTAAAAAATGTATGTAGTTATGCATACGTGTATATGTGTCTACACACATATATGTATACACACCCACAAGCATAGCTATATATATTTACCAAAGAACAGAAATGAGGTACACCAGAATGTTAATAGTTCTCAGAGTGAAGTCACTATATTTTTAACATTAGTTGTTACGCTTTTATTCATTTTTCATTTTTTTAATGAATGTATATTCCTTTTACATTCAGAACAAAATCACAAATTTAATTTGAAGTCCTGGATCAGGGATAGGACTTAATGGGGCCCAGGGTGTGGCATGAGGGCTGCTCGCATGCTGCCAGGGTAGCGTAAATTACACTGCCCAGAGGGTCTTATGGCAAAATGTAGCAAAGCCTTTCAAGTGTTCACACGTTTGGCCAGTCATTCTTCTTCTAAGAATTTGGCCAAAGGAAATAAGCAGAGATGCTGAGATGCCTGTACAGGATGTTTACAACACAGTTATCTGTGATACGAAACTTTGGTTATAGTGATACACACACTGACAAGAGGGAGTAGGGTGAACGAATGGTAGTGCACCCACCTGATGCATTTTACAGTTATTGACGTGTGTTGGAAAAAGTCTTAGTAGCAAAAGGAAATGCTTATGCTAAACTGAAATTTAAAAGCAAGAGAAAAATCTGTATACAGTCTGATCACAAATATGCTTTAAAACTGATAAGTCTATATGTGCAAACACATGTGTACAAGACCACCTAGCAAGAAAACCAAAGTATGTGTGTGGGTGGGGGCGGGTGATTAACAGTAGCTTTGATGAGTGGTGGGATTTTTACTGCCTTCTGTATACTTTTCTGTTTCCCAGATATTCTGCAATGAGTATGCATTATTTCTATAATCAGAAAATATACTTATTTTAAAAGAGAAAAGAAAGCTCCCTCTTCACAGAATGGAGAATGGAGTATGGAGGAAGCAGGCTCGGAGCTCTGTGCTGGAAGTGGGAATGAAGGGCATGGGGGGATTCAAGGCACTAGGAGGCAGAAATGTCAGGATGTGCAGGCCGACTGGATCGGTGGGGTTGGGGAATCCAGTGAGGCTCTCAGGCCTGTGGCCTGGGATAAGGAACACAGGATGTGGTAGCCGGCCTCCTCAGGCTGATTCTTGCTGCAACACACCAGCCTGTGCAGCCCCTCCCACCCTGACAGGGCTGACCCGTGGAGCCCTCGGGTACAGCAGGAATGACAGACATGGTGTGGCTTCTGAAGCTAGGCCAGAACAGCAGTGATGGAGACAGAAAGGAGAAGAGAGCTCACAGGCACTCGGGGGTAGCAGGGCGAGGGGCTTGCCCCTTCCTGCTGGTCCTGAGTCAGCTCCGCAGCAGCCCTAGTGGGCTCGCTTCCTGCTGTTTCCATCTCCATGGAAATCACCCTCGGGGTTCCCCTTCTCCTTTTCAGTTTTCCAGTGACACCTGTCAAACCAATTCCCTAAATTAAACTATCTTAGTTCCGGTCGCCACATGCTTTCTGTTTTCCTAGTGAGGCAGGGCACAGACTCAATTCCGCTCATCAGCTACTGTGTCTGGTTCCCTGGGGGGCGCACAGTAAGGGGGAGACCTGGAATGTCCCTCCCTACAGTCTCCCTGATTGTGGACTAGGAGACAAGACTCTCTTACCACCTACAGACGCAGCCCCCCACCAGAAGAGTACCTCAAAGGACAAAGCACAGCAAGAAAACAGAGACCCGGTGCTGCCTGTCACGATCATGCACTAAGAGGAGGGCGCCGCCCCAAGTAGCCAAAACCCGGCCCTGGGAGGGGGGAAGAATACCTGAGCCACCACAATGCTTTGCGGTGCATTCCGCGGGCCTCAGCATGCAAGCAGACATGCTGTGTGTCTGGGATGTTAAACTTTCATGGGCAGGTAACATTTAGGAAAAAAGTGCTAACAAGGCTGCCTGGGGACAGGAGAGGGGACAACAATGAAAATGGGGTGAGAAACGCTGGCCTCAATGATATTGTATATGCTCATGCCTTCCTTTGCTTGGGCACCCCCTTTCGCATGACATTCCCTCCAGATTCCTAATAAACTCGACAGAAACATCATTTTTTTCTCGCATAGGAAGAGTCAGGAATATAATGCAGGAGAGAATTTAATGCTGACTGAACATGGACATCGGTTATAGTGCCTTTTAGAGCAGCCAAGTGTCAACATTCAGAACGAATGGCTTCCTTCCCTTGCCAATGTGTGTTTGGTGGAGCAAAATAGCTTATTTCTTTACCTCCAATGGTCACTTTTTTCCAGAAAAATGAAGGTACTTTGAGCTGCCCCATTCTTTCCAGGCCCTTCTGGGGCCCCTTGTGTGCAGTCCCCACTGCCACACATCACAGAGGAGGCTGCCACCCCGGCACCACTATAAATGGGGAGCATGCTGGCTCCACTTTATTTTGATGGCGCATGTGTGTGCCTTTGTCTCATAGTTATTCTCTTATCTCTGTGGCTCACAGCACTTCTGCAACCAAAGCACAATTTGTTCTCTCCGTGGTTTCAAGTCCCAGCTACTGAGTAAAGCACTGCGTCGCTCTGTAAACACTTTACAGGACAGTCACAGTGCACAGACCGAATGTGAGTTCTACTCACATAATCACAATGGGTGCTCACTTGACAACTATCGAGATCTGCTCGAGTCTCATGCTATCCCTCACGGTGGGCTTCAGTTACTCATCCAGTCGTTTTGGTCAGTATCATGAACAAGGGTGTGTGCTTGGTGCTGTATGAAGCTAATGAGATTTAAAAAAAAATTTTTTTTATGGTGTCATTGATATACAATCTTATGAAGGTTTCACATGAGCAACATTGCAATTACTGCATTCACCCATGTTATTCAAGTCACCCCCATGCCCCATAAGATGCTACAGAGTCACTACTTGTCTTCTCTGTGCTATACTGAGGCTAAGGAGATTTGGAAAGTACAGTTTCTGCCTGTGGAGAGGAAGAGAAGCAAGTGCACAAGTACTATTAGAACATAAGGCACTTGCAACAATCACGGAAGAGACAGACACCCCAGAGCTGCTGGCATTTCAGAGACAGAGATGCCACTCCCTGGAGCGAGGAGTCAGAGCAACCTTGTGGAAAAAGGGCAGCTCTCAGCAGGTGGAAACGGGGGTAGAGAGGGAAGCATGAGTGGCATCCAGCGTGAGTCAAGGCACAGAGGCAGGAGACGGTAAATAAATGGCCTAGCAGGGCAGGTGGTTTAGGCCCAGATACCACACTCTCTGAAGCTTTTTATATTCCAAAGTCTTAACACCAAGTATTTTTCAATTGGGAATTTATCATTTTACTTTAGTAGAAATGTTAAGAGCATTTACCTTCAGTTGGAAATTTCTTGGCTCGTTCTTCAAAGAACCAGTCTCCAGTTTTTATTTTGACATTTCTAAAAAACAAGCAGAAAGGCAGCCTGAGATAGAGCTGTGGGTAGCGCTGTACCTGGCTCCCAGTTGGTAGGGAGAACGCATCAGGACATACGAGTCAGGCAACGGGTCTCGAAGTGCAAGTATCTGGCCAAATCCTAATTCCATGGATTTCCCATAGAGGTTAAGTGATTTGACTAGTTAGCATCCATCAGAGCTGGGAGTCTCTGCTTAAGTATAGTTCATGCTGAATGGAACATGCATATTACCATATGTGTGTGTCCAACATGCATTAAGCACTCAATGTTTTCTCAATAAATACACAAGGAGAAACAAAATTGCCATCAATCATTTTTCATGGTGATGGCGGGGAGCAATGGCATGAAGGATAATCAGCAGAGTTCGATGCTGTCTACCTGCCTAAGAGGGAGAGCACCCTTGGGTGAAGCTAAGGTTAGTCTGTGTTAACCACAATATTTGCCAACAGCCAACAGAGCAGATTCATCAGACAAGGTTCTTGGAAGGGCCTATATATAGGATTAATGTGCTTCAGAGGAGATCCGGGGACCTAGGCTGAGCTGACCTCTTTCTTGACAGACAGGTAAATGGCCTGCCCTTGGCTGGCTGGTCTGACAGCAGCTCCCTAGGGCATCTCCACGTCCCTACATGTTCCTCCATCAGAGGCGGACTCACTGCTTGGATCTGAACTCCCAAAATGTATTTACTGTTCAGTTTCCAAATTTCTCAAGAAACTACCCTCAACCTCAAACCTTGGAAAGGTAGAATTACTAATATCCTTTTAGGCTGTAGAAAGGTAAACACACAGATATTATATATCACTCACACCCTTAAAATAAAATCTGAATCAAAGTTTGTCAATTCCTGGCTTATGTCAGTTTAAGAAAAATTAAAACTTCAAAAAATGGCAAATGCTCTTCTCTAAATTTTTCACTAAAAAAAGTTCTCCATTAGGTTCTTTTAGACTTTATATGAACTCAAATGGATTTTTTTTAAAGTTAATGCTCACAAATGCTGCAAATGTAATTAAATTAACAACTATGTGCCAACCTATGCATTTTTAAAAGAAATATCCTATCTTACTCTATGGAGCTGTAGCAGTGGTTAGAAGACATCAACCAGCTTCCTCCCATTCATCTAGTTGGTAGCTATTGTGACCTCTGGTTAATATGTAAATAATTATTCCCAATGCTTCGTGACTTGAATAAGGAAAACATATAAGGAGCATTTATAAATTTTGATAACAATTTTTATAATCAGCCACTACCATTCAGAGCCAAAAATATATAAAATGCTCAACCGTTCTGTCTTTAGAGAGACAAGGAGAGGTTTGCATCCATGAGATCAGAAATTTGGATTATCCAATCCACTAAATGGACACAAAACCCTTTAAGGAGAACTCGGCATCTCAACCAATGTTCTCCCCGGAGGCACCTGAACTCTTGAGCAGAGGATCAAATACCAAGGAAGGCCTGGAACAATGAACAGAGTGGTGAATCCACGCTCCTTTGAAGGGCCACGCCTCCAGCTGTTCTATTTCTAAGGCTGCCTGTTGGCCTTATAAGCAGGACAAGGCCTCACCATTCGATGAGGAGACTAGGGGAGCAAAATCAAACTCGGGAGCAGGAGGCCTTGTCTGTGGCGGAGGCGGCCCTCTCAGCGAGCCCTCCCTCTCAGGCTCTCCGGCCCTGACCCTTGGGACCAAGGGCATTCACAGGCCAGGCAGGCACCAAGGATGGAGTGACGCCTCAGACTGGAAGAGAGAGCAGAGAATTCAGGGGCGCATCAAACCGTGACCCTTGTATAGTCAGCTCAGCCTGCCAGACACAGGCCACCACTGAGAAGTGAAGGCACACACACAGACACACAACAGGAGAAACACAAACAGCCCAGGGGACCGGGGGGAGCAAGGTGGGAGCACCTGAGGAAACAGTCTCCTCCAGCCATTGCAGAGCCCGGGCCAAAAGTGGGTGCATCAAGAAACTGGCCACCCAGTCCTAGTCATCCGATGTGACCATCTGATCATCTGACTGAGTCCCAGCTGATGACTTGCAAAGGTCCAGCAGGAGTTTATGTGGCACGGACAGATTTAGACACAAACTCGCAGGTCTCTGGGGCTTATCCAAGATTAAAGAACCGAAGGTGGAATACACTGTGGTCCTAAACTGCATGACGACCCAGGCTTTTAGCATTTGAGGCTGTTTCCCTTGGGAGCTAGATTTGAGCAGTATCAGCTGTTGCACAAGCAATTATTCCCTAATAACTTTCATAAGAGCTCCCTGTCCACACCAGCCCAAGTCTTAAAAGGAGGACCATTTATTGCTCTTTTTATCTAAGAGGTGAGCAGACCTTGCAGTGGCAACACCTTCAATGTTTCTGTCCTCCTGAGGGCTGACACAGGATAACCTGACTCACAGCAACCAGAAGATGTGTTATTATTTCTGCCCAGATGATTACTCCAATTTTGGCTATGAAAGCTTCTTGGAACATTTTCTGAGCTCAGCAATAGGTTAATTCTTTTACATTTTTCAGACAGAATCGTGACTTGCTTCTTTAAAAATACATTTCAAAAAGCAAAAGCCTAGGGTGGTGGAGAGAACAGAAGATACAGTTAGGAGACCTGAGTTCTGTGTTTGACCTTTCCACTACGTCCGTTCTGTAAGTGTCAAGCACATTGTGCATAGATGGCTCTTAATAAACTTCTGGAGTTTCCAGCATGCATTTTCGTGGCCTTGAACTCTGCTAATGCTGTCATTTCATCAGCAAATGAGAAATAGCTGTTGAAAGGCACTTTGCAAATCCTAGCATACAAATGTTCACTAATACGATGAATGGATGACCCTAAGAGAAAGGCAGTTGGACCTCATTACATTCAGCCAGCAGTGAGCCAAATAGGCTTGCTGGAATGCATTTTTTGATTTTGCACCCAAATTACTCACAGCTGTAGGTGGCTAAGTGGTGGCATCCATGTTTTATGTTCCAAAAAATGTCAGCATGATGTCCTTGGAGTTGCTTAATGTATTTTCCAGAAGGCATTCAATGGACAGGAGGTAGAAAATCAGCCCACACAGTCAGGATTCTCCAAATGCCTAAAGAAGCGTGGTTCTTGGGCAGATCTGTGCTCCCACCCTGTGTGCCCTGAGGGCAAAGAAGCCTCAAGAAAGCCCTGGAGGCTCATTAGACAACACACTGCAAAAACTCCAAATGGGGAAGCCCAATATTGTAAAACACATTAACTAACTGCTTTGTGCTAGCTTATCCAGCCACTTGGCAATTCCCAGCTAAATTGGTCCTATGCATGCCTACAGTTGAAAATTTTTTTACTTCAAATAATCTTGCATCTAAGATGGTCTTTAGTTACAAAGAAAACTAATGTTTTCCACTAGCTCAGCTGATCTGATTTCAACATTCTTACAGGAAAAAAGACCAAACATTGTGATTAAATCCTAGGTAACCAGTAGAGAAGTCAAGAGATTTGAGATTAAGATAAAGAAATGATTTTATCAAGCTGCTACCACCACTTTTTGCACAAACTCCCTTTCTAGACCTCAGAGAGAACAAGTCTCCTCTGTGTCACATTCGGCACTGTATTCACAGTCCCAAGCACAACTGGGGCACATGGCAGGAGCCAGGGAATACATGTGGGCTGGGTAATGAATGAATATTCCTACCTCTGCAAGGAGCCCCCAGAAAATTGAAGGCATAAAGTGGGGTCCACATAGGTAGAGCCTTGGTGGCAGTGTGCCCTGAGGCCCACTGTGCAGCATGCTCCCTGAGGGTGAGACAGGGGCCACAAACTCAGGCACCAAGCGGAATCTGCAACTGAGTAAAGTGGCAAGGGTGAGCAATAGGGAGGGGTGGCTGCTCTGGTGACTGGGGAACCCATGGACAGTTTTAAGGCATTGAATGATACACAGATGTTGTACAGGCCACCAAAACAGAGCCTGTGGCTGTCTGCAGCCTGTTGGCCATAAGTTTGTGATTCCAGGTTTGTTAGATCAGATAACTAGCTGATGAAAGTAAGAAAATCCTACCACAGCCAGACAGAGCTGTGCCTGTTAAGGCCTTGACAATCAAAATCAGGTTAGAGGCTGGCCCATTGCTCTGTCTTCCCCACAGATCTGAGGAGGAGCCCCACTACCTAGGGGCCACAAAAGACCAGGAGCACATACCCTCGGCTGGCAGACCTGGCTGTCTGCAGAGACAACCAAGAACCTCCGACAAAATGGCACAGGCGAGAGAAACAGTCCTGAGGCCCCGCGAGGCGGCCTGCTCTCAGTGTGCAAAAGCAGCTGAGACTCGCCACTGTGAAAAGAACAGAAGATGTAAGGAAAACCCAGGCTGACTCCAAGAGATGTGGATGAGTGTGAGGGCAGAGGGGGAACTAACAAGGCGGAGGCTTGGCGAGCCATCCGCCAACAGAACAAGCATAATTGAGGGTCTGGAAAGTTGAATCGGTGATGCTGACCCAGCACAGACACTTTCCCAGACATGAACAGAAAAAGAAGACATTACATGTTGAAGGAGAAGATAATACAAATGGAGGGTAGAAAATGAAGCCAACTTCTGTAATTAGAAGTTATTCCCAAAGAAGCCAGGCAAGTGGCCATCAGACCTGAGTCAAGAAAATGTTACCGAGTCAAAAGACAAAGAAACCCCCCCACTTCACACTCGTTACAAGGGCTCCTTTCTTGTTATTTTCCAACAGAAAATAAGAAGTAGTGACAAAGATGTGGAGAAACTGGAACCACGTGCAGTGGCGGCGGGATTCCAAAACGGCACAGCCCCTACAGGAAGCAGTTACTATTATGATCCAGCAATTTCACTTCTGGGTATATACCCAAAAGAATTGAAAGTAGGGTCTCACAGAGACATCTGTGCACCCATGTTTACAGCAGCGTTATTCACAATAGCCAAAAGGTGGAAGCAACTTAAGTGTCCATGGACACACAAATGAACAAATAAAATGTAATATACACACACTATAGAATATTATAATGCAGCC